ACATACATGACCCTTTGTATCAACACCTATCATTATCTATTTCTTATTCACCCTTATGTGATTATATACCAGTAAATAGAAGATTGATGTACTATAGCTTGCAAAGAGTAGAACATATCTATAAAGTATTTCATGATATCATAGATATATACATGAATACTTATACCTAGGTGTATGTTTTCAAACTACAAAGACTGTTGTCATTGTCAATCAAACTCATGATTTAAATGCTTCTCATACTTGGATTAATGCAACATTTACTAGACAAGAATGATCTGTTGTCCGATTAAAATGCATTAGCATATAAGATGATGTTTTCTCTGTTCAAAGGTGCCTTTCTTTGTGAATGATAAAGGAAGGCTCAGTATTGCTTGAACTATAATAGACCAATCAAATATTTACTCTTGCTGATTCTATGTATTTGAATATTGCAGAAATTACTCTGGCCTTTGTATCACCTGAATTAAATGGGCCTAAAATGAGATTTTCCTCAGCGGTACTTAGATTCGTTTAATATGATGAGCTAACACAAGAAAAACAAAAAGAAAGGCAAGGCAGTGCAAAGACAAATTAATGATTGCAATTCTTGCAGGTCATGGACGGAAATTAATTTCCCTTGAGCAAGGTTGGGGAAGGAGAAACCATGGATAAGCCACATTAGCCCCAGCCCTGTAAAGGATCATGCACTGCTCTACTTAAAACACATTCATCATTATCTACAACGGTCATGCTACTTTACAAAGCATTAAATTTAAGATAACTGACTATATCTAAGTAGGCAGACAAATATGCTAGAAAGTACCTGCAATATTGCACCCATTCAAATGCCGAGTCTTCCGACCAAAAAAACATGCCGAGTCTAGCATTCAGACCAGTCCCAGCATTCTGCACTCCACACTGAATGGTGGGAATGACTGATTAGTCTCCAACTTGGCAAATAATATCCTTCAATAACACATTTCAATGATGAATCTACCAGCAGTTGATGTCATGCGCCGGGATTTGAGATATAAAATAAATCTCTTCAATAAGTGAGACAGCTGTAGAAATCAACTCTCAGTCTCTGGACAGTATTGAGCTCTGCCTTTTTTTCTCCGTTCTTGCTCTTGAAAAGCAAACTGAAATTTGAGGTACCAGATTGTTGTACTAAACTGATGTTGAAATTTCATTGTCAACTCATGGGTGAAACAGCTCATACCTCACAAGAAGTTCTAAATTTTCTCCTGCAGAATCCTCAGGTCTGGAGGAGAGATAGGTGATGATCCTGTTAAACTATGTTTCAAGTTTAAGCCTGTGAAAGAAACCCGATCCAAGAAAGAATTCCAAATCTGAATAGGACTTGTAGTTTGACATCCGACACTCAGACCGAACCACATAAATCTCTAGTGTCCTTATCGGTTCTCATTGATTTCTCTGATAATTTCTTCTTCTCGCATTAGACTAAATTGCAAGATCCATTAGTTTCTGCGTTAATTTCACAATAGATCCTATGCCAAATTTTAAATTCCCAATCACCAATAATCAGCACAAGAACATGCTCCATTGTGAAAATGATGGAAGCGGTTGATATCTCTGATGATAATTTCTCGCGGCACAACCTTTGATATCAGCTTTATTGCAGCATGGCAGTCCACGCATATTCGAAGATTTTTCATAATACGTATAGGGTTTCCATAGGGCATTTTGATAAGCGCAAATGCTAAAGCTAATCTTTCACTGTGTAACCACAGCAAGCGCTCCTTTTCTTCATCTTCAACAGCAAGTAATATAGCACTACAATTAGGGACAAACCCTTCCTTTTTGGCTTTCATGTTCAACCACTCCAACATCCCACTGATTAGCTTCATATCAGGATGTGAAGTATCCCCAACGGTGAAGTAATGGACTGTTCCCTGATATTCAAACCAACTTAACCCTGGTTCCTTTTTTATGCCTCGTCGTTTCATTTTTTTCCTCACAGCAGCGACATTCTCCCACCTCCTTTCATTTGCATAAATGTTGGACAAAAGAACATAGGCTGCTTCATCATGAGGTTCCATCTCAAGCACACGCTCTGCTGAAAGTCTTCCCAGCTCAACATTATGATGGATAACACAAGCCCCAAGCAAAGCCCGCCACACCATGACACTAGGTTCAAATGGCATCGCCTGAATCAATTTCATAGCCTTATCGAGATAGCCTAGTCTTCCCAAAAGCCAAACCATACAGGTGTAATGCTCTACACAAGGTTCAATGCCATAGTTATGCACCATAGAATGAAAATACCGTTGACCTTGATCCATAAGTCCAGAATTGCTACATGCTGATAAGACGCCAACAAAAGTTAGCTTATTTGGTCGAGATTTGCTTGCATTCATCATCTCAAATATGTTTAGAGCCTCTCCACCAAGACCATGCATAGAATACGCTGAGATCATAGTATTCCATGAAACTTCATCTCGTGCATGCATCCGATCAAACATTAGTCGAGCTTCTTTGATGGCCCCACACTTGGCATACATATCTATTAAAGAATTACCAACTACTGTGTTCTTGTCATAAGTAGTTTTGATGGTCAGAGAATGGATCTGGTTTCCTGGCTCCAGAGATGCTAAGCCAGCGCAAGCACGAAGAGCGCTAGAATATGTCACTTCAGTTGCCGTCAGTCGATGATCAAGCATATTTGAGAACAAACTCAATGCCTTCTGACCCTCACCTATTTGTGCAAAGCCAACAATCAGAGTGTTATAAGTCACATCATTTGTAGCTTGTGATTCCTCAAATATTTTAACAGAAATGTCAATCCTTCCACTCTTAGCATAGACATCCATTAGAGCATTTGAGACAAACACATCCGAGTCAAGACCAACCTTGAGGACGTTACAGTGCACTTGCTCACCCAATTGTAAAGACTCCATAGTGGCACATGCCTGCAACAAACTTGCAAAGGTAAACTGATTGGGGACGACAAATGCTCGTCTCATCTGACAGAAAAGCTCCATCGCTTTTCTACTCTCACTAATCTGAGCATACCGCCCAATCATAAAGCTCCAAGGAATTACGTCTTTCTTAGGAATCTCTTCAAAGACCCTCCGTGCGCCCTCCATGTCACCCAATCCACTATACAATTCTAGCAATCCCACACCTACATGTACATCCAGCTCATAATGCGTTTTCAGCGTGCATCCATGAACGCTTCTCCCCAAGTGTATAGTCCCCATACCAAGACAAGCCTTCAAAACACTGACAAAGGTATAGTTATTTGGCTTAAACCCAACAATTCTCATTTGAGAGAAGAGCCCCATGGCCTCTTCGAAGCATCCATTCTCAGCACAGCAGGAAATGATCCCAGTCCACGAAACCATGTCCTTGAAAACAATCCCACCAAAAACATCCTTGGCGCAGGAAACAGATCCACCCACAGAGTAAGCATCTATCAAAGCTGTCCCAACAAATGCATTCGGATCATGGCCCAACTTGCAAATGCAGGCATGAACAGCCCCACCCATGTCTGCCCTCTCCATACTCACAAGCAGTTTCAAGAAAGTAGTAAAAGCAAATGGGTTCAGCTCGTGCCCCTCCCTATGCAGCTTAACGAAAAGCTCGACGGCCTCGCCAAACCGGAGGGCCTGCGCTAAGCCCTGGATCAACGTCACAAACGATATGGTATTCCTCTCGGGCAATTCGTCGAACAGTGTCCGTGCATCCCCCAAGAGCTCGGACTTCACGTACGCATTGAGAAGGATGTTGGAAGCAAACAAGTCCAGGCAAGCACCCCGCTTGATGACGTCGCAGTGGAGAGGCCTGGCCAGAATGGGGTCGCCGCTGCGGATGCAGTCTTGGAGCATACTGGCGTAGGAATGTGAGTCGAAGTCCGAAGTTGGAAGCTCCGAGTCGTTTGGACATTGCTCGAGCAGATGGGCGGCTTGGGCCGAGAACCCACATGCTGACGGGTGAAGGAAGCTATTGAGTGCACGACCACCGCATGGTGTCGCAACGCTCACACATCGCAACGCTCTCGTGCTCAGGAATCTGATCATGCGACCGTGTTCCTCTGCTCAGGGAAGAACCCAGTCCCGCATGCCAGGTGTTCGATGTTCGGTTCACGTCGTCTCTTTTCGGCATGTATTTTCGATCATGGACTTTTATACTATATGGACCCGATCTATATCTATTCAAACGCATTATTACATAATAATTCATAATCATTACTAAAAGAAATCCCTTATAAAAATCAGCCTAAGCACGTTAATACGTAGAAGAGAGGAAATGAGGTTTGTATAAAAAATGGAAAAGAAAGTAATATAAGTCGGTAGGGTAAAATATCATTGTTTTTATCGATACAAACAATCTTGCATTTTTCGAGACCATGCGTGACTTTCGCATTTTCAATAAAAAGCAACATTCATCCTTTCCATTTGTTATTTCGATTATTTCGATCGGCTTAAGGTTGTTTTTGTCAACTCAATAAAGGCACCTTCCGATCGTGCCGATGGCACGAGCTTACATACACCTGATCGCGAGCTCGGCGGCATGTTTAGCCCCTGCTCGAGCCCGCGAGGCTTGAAGCGCGAACCGGGGTTTAGCCTGGAGAAAGGAATTTCCCTTTGTGGGGCCTCCGACTTGCCTACACAGGTCCCCCCCTTGGACCTTGGGCCTGTTTTTAGGCCGTAGTTAAAAACGACGCAGTTTTAGGGACTCGAGATAAGGGTGACCCGACGCATACGGCGGCGTTTCGGGGCGGGAGCAATTAGGGTTTCTGAGGCAGACCATCTTCTTGAGGTACTGCTCTATATATAAACCAACATCGCTTACGCATCGAAGTGCGGCACTCGTCTTACGTGTCTCTTTATAGATCTGAATCTCCCCATTCGATACGACGCCTTGTTCTGTTTCTTCTTCTTCTTCTCGGGCTGGCTCTGATGTTTTCGTTGGCGTGCGTCCTGCGTCGTCCTTTCGATACGACTATTTTCTTGTTTGAATCGCGAGTTCGCAGGTGCTGTGAATGAGTGAGGGGGGCTGAGCAGATGATGAGAAACGATGTGATTGAATACTGATTGGATCACTACCCCATGAAGTTTCACCAAAATCGAGCTTTTTAAAACTGATGCTCAAGCTCACCACCTTCTCCTTTCTTTCTCTGCCTTCTCATGGAAAATTTCGTTCTTTTTTTTGGGTTCTTAATTTTTCAGCCTCAATGCACGGTCAACTTTTTGCCGGATTTATTTTTTCTATTTTTTTTTTTTGGGTCGAATGTTGGGGGAATTAAACCACATTAATTTTTTTTTTCAGATTTTTCAGACTTGCAAAGCGAGCTTGTAAATTGCGTTAAGAATCGGAATCCCAGTTAATTGCAAACATAAAAAAATGAGATTGCTCGATCGCCGTGTGTAAATGAATTTGCCTGAGCGGTCAATCGTTCGTCAGGATACATTCAGGATTTGATTGATCTTTTTTCCGAAACTTAATTGCACATTATTAGATGGACAAAATGATCGGAACCATTCGTACAAATTTCTCAATATAAAAAATGCCAAATGGGAGTATTCTCCTTTGGAATGGCATAAACTGCATAGTAGCATTTCCTTTTCATTTAGATAAAGAGATTGGATACATGGTCAAAGCTTTTTTGAGCAAAGTAAGGCTCGAAGGGCTTGGTGGATAAGTAGTCCAATTTCTCTCGGCAGGCTTTCGTTCGTTTGGGTTTATGCAACCTAAACCGTAGGCCGGTTGTGTATATCTGACGAGCGCGAGTGCAAATCGCTTTATTTAAAGAGCTCTTCAACTCAATTTCACTTGGTTGAGGATGTCTCATCATCATCCTTTGTCAAATGTCATTCCATTCGACCCTCTTCATTCCTCATGTGAACTGTCACATGCTTACCGAGAGAGTTAAACTTTATGCGCCCATTATTTGGCGAAGCTAAAGCTGGGACATGGAATCCTGAACAGAATTTTGATGTTTGGGAAGTGCCCCCTTGAGGTCTTCTCTTGCCCCCTGATGTAACCCGCCAAAGTCCAAGCACTTAAACTTATCACCATTAGATTGAGCTCAAATCAACCTAAATCTGAGGTCACTACGCGACTATCTACAATCAAATCGAATAAGTCGAGGATGTTGATCATCCCACGGAGTGAGCTCGGATTGAATATCCAAGCCCCGTTTTCATTTTAATCAAGACGATAATGTCGCATTCGAGATATAGGTGGAAAAGAAAATTACCCAATCAGTTCTACACTTATCGTGCGCGGACGCCAATTCAGTTTCGAACTTTTGCAATTTTTTGCCAATGGAGTCCTAACCCTTTCTCGCAGTCCTTCCGGCCAGTTTATGCTTGAAGTCACCGACGTGGTGGTCCAATCATTGCCGACCGTCGGCCGAAATTGGAGAGAAGGATTACGCAGAGGTTTATGGCTCAATTGACGAAATTAAAAAATTTGAGATTGATTCGGCATCCGCACGGGATCGATTGGGTAAGTTCTTCGCAGGGTGGAATTAGGCCATTAAGCAAAAGTGTGTCTGCTTCTTTCTCTATGAAGTGCACGTCCTTTCCTCATGTTACTCGATTGCATCAAGAAGCACGAGCACGTTGCTGGTGCGTATCACATGGGGTTGGGCCGGTTGGCCAAGAACAGCATTAGCCAGAAAGGCAAAACGTTTTGTTGGTCTACGTCGGCACCGTGGAGAACCTTCGTGGAAAGCGGGTCTTGCGGATGCATGGGGAAAAGGGGGACTCAGATTTATAGAATGAAGATGGAGATTATAGTACTTTTTTTTTTTTTGTGACATGGAAGAAATGAAATGATCTTTGAATAAGGTACGGCTGTGTTTCGTCGGAATTGCTCCGGCGACGAAATATCATTTGCCGAAAGTAGTTCTTCGGCTTTTGATTAGAATGAGCCGGGTCTTGTGGTGATTCCGGACAAAAAATATCCAAGCAAATGAAGGAATCAACAACTTCACTTTGGATAAAATTACACGAACTCGATTCGTGCCAGAATTTAATTGACGACGGGATCCAGAAGGCGTAATCATTACAAACAAACCAAACGTAAACAGACCCCGCTAGAATTTAATCAACGACGAAACTTGAGAACATAAAGATATCACGTTAGAATTTAACCGACGACATGACACCCGGGATAGAGATACACGCTGGAATTTAATCAACGACGCAAATACGAGAACTACTATTACGAAAGTAAAGTGCAAAGTAAAGATACCGAAAGATAGTAAATTTGTTTGATTTATGCAATGGGCTTTCAGTTGAACATTTGACATTATTTACAATGGTTATGCCTTTAACTACGATTTCATTTTGATGGTGACTGGTGATGGTCCATCGAAAACTGTCTTACGTTGGCATTGCTCCATGGCTCTGTCTTTTAAATCGCGTGGCTTTAACATTCAAATGACAACTCTTCCTTCAAAAAATGTACATCCATTTCTTCCTAATTTCAATTACCTCGCAGACGTGCCTCTGTGTTACTCTATCGGTGGCTCAACTACTTTTGGATTGCTTTTCTTTAAAGTCACCGTGACCAGCGACCGGCCAAGGAAGAAGAAAAATGAAAAAATTTAAAAAAAATTCGAATTTTTTCGTAATTTTTCCTTGAAAATCAAATCGGATATTGAACCATGGAAAATATTTTCCAGTTCATTTTCGGGTCTCAGCCGAACACCAGAAAATATTGTCATTTTTCTAAAAAATGACTTTCTAGAAAACATTTTCCAGAAACGTCACATTTTCCGCGAAACGAACGGAATATTTTTATTTTATTCATTTATCTAATTATATTTTTGTTCTTCCACTTTTTTTAAGCATGGAATTGATACCTTGATTAAGCTATACTTCCAAATCAATCCATGAATGCATCCCTCGTGATCTTATTCTTTTCTTTTGTTTTAAACTTCTTTTGATTAGCCTTGGAAAGTATTACGTAATCAACTCCAAGTTTGAGTGATTCATTCCTTGTTTTTTTCTAATCTAAACCCAATTGTCATATAAATATAAAATTGGGTTAATATCACGAATAACCTCAAACTAATAAACCTGTGACAAATTTACCCCAAACTAATTTTTTGATCACCAAAAACCTCAAACTGGTATACTTGTGACAATTTTACCCTCCGTTGTTTCCTTTAAATTTTATCGTCAAATTTCTAAATTGGATGACATGTAATAAATAACAGGTGTATTAGTTTAGATTTTTATCCTCCGTTTGTTACACGTGTACGAGTTTGTGATTTTTCGTGGTATTAATCCAATTTAACGGAGGGTAAATTTGTCACAAATGTATGAGTTTTGGGTTTTTCGTGATATTAACCCTATAAAATTTAGGTCGAGAGATTGGAATTCTAGGAAACTATTGTCAAATGATATCGGTAATACTAATAACCTCTCTGTTATTTAATTCGCATTCCATAGTGTGGTGTATCTAGAAGAGGTCCTTCATATGTTTTATTTGTCATGGCCCCCCGCTAGTGACACTACTCACGCATTTATATATTTATATTCACATATATTAGTTTGTCAATTAGGCTCTTAATTGGCTTTTCTCCATAAATTGTTTTTTTCTTATAATAATTCAGTTCATTTTAGCAAATTAAGGTATAAAGAAAGTCTGACGAAGAAATTACTTTCTCTCGAAAAAATTAGTTTATCATAATTTTCATCAGCTCGCTAAGATTCTTTTTATGCGATCGTGTCTTTTTTATTCAATTCTGTCTACAATCATTCATGTTTCGTCATAATAAAAACAAATATACACATAATTCGCCGTACTCCGTCGTCGCCCGATACCGTACGGAAAATAATTGTTTCCTATAAATGGAAAAAAAAAATATTGATGCTATCATCAAAATGACTCGGAAATGGTTAAAATTTGTGCAATTGTCTAGCCTTGACGACAACAACATATAACAAATTCTCAACAAACGAAGTCATTCTCCAAGGAAACAACGGTGACATTAAAACTACCGTCAGCTGAAGAGTCGTTAAATGAAAAATTATGTTCGATCAAAGAGAGATAGAGAGAGAGTGTGTGTTTATGTGACGTGCAAATTAAACAGATAGATTCGTGAAGATGGTATACAATAATCGTATAGCATATATCGTATTACTATACATGCGGCCCTTAAAATCAAACAAATAGATACATATCTTCACGAAACATCAGGGACAGAGACGGACATGGTGTACATACGACATAGGTACGACACGTATGGTTGACGAAATCCACCGAAGAAGTATATAGACAGCAAAGGACGAGGCGAATACTACATACATCTACTTCCCAGATCCTGCGAATCAACACGTGCGGTAGCCGCCGGCGGGCCCAATCAGCCGCCGGCCAAAAAGGCAAACTACGATCATACGCCGTAGCCCACTTCATTAACTCCTCCGACGAAAGGGAAGGAGCAAAAAAGAAACAAAGACAAAAAAAAATAAGAATAGTCCACCTAACTCCTAAGGGCGACGACGCCGTAGGACGACTGTATGCTTCTTAGACTCCTTCCTTCCTTGGCATTTTTTCCACGTGCGGGAAAGACCGATGGCTCGCCTCGGCTCCTTCCTCGAGGCGACGCGCTTTCACTTGCCGCGGGTGTAGGGGGACGCCGAAGTAGTCAACCTGCCACCACATTAAACACGCGCGTTTGTTTGGTCAGTCGACGACGATGATTTCGGACCGAACGACGCGCACGCGGTTCGTTCTCGGAGAAGAAACGACGCCGTCGCGGCTAAAAAACACATGCGACGACCCAGTCGAAGCCTCTTTCGGTGGATGGGACGAGGGGGGCGGAAACGGGATTTCCTCTGGGCGGAGGACCGAACAGCAAATTTCGGGGCGGCAAATTCTTCTTTCTTTTTTTTGGGGGGAGCATGCGCGGGGCCGATGGGACCGAGGCGCCTTTTTGAAACAGTCCGATGTTCGAATTAGAGGAGGACCGACCACGACCACTACCGTCGTCCTCGACTTTAACATGGCTTAAGGAATCTTAGTACTTTTTCTTATCTTCTTCCTATGGGGTTTCCCCTAATTTAAGGAACGTGTTTTGCTTGATTTTCCATTTGCGTCGTTGCTCCCGACGGTTCACGCCTCGCGCATAGATGACGACATTTTTCCAAACTTGGTAATGTTTTTCTCCCCCTCGTAATTTCTCGGATTAAGTAAAAAACCACCGCCGTGAAAATTAGAAGAACTATCGACGCTAAATTAAAGCCAACCCAAATTCGAGTTTCTCGTCTATTTCCACTAGCAAGCGAAACTCTAGCGCTGCCGTCGCTCCAACACTCTATGAGCAGTGAACAAGTTCCTATTTTTTTTCTTTTTTTCTCGTACGCCCCCCTACATCACCGGCATGATCTTCTTCAGATATTTTAAGAATGTCCATCTCGATCTAATATGAGCTAAGGAATGTGCACAAGACTTCTAAATTCTTTTCTCCTACATCTAGAAATACGTAATGGTTAATCTCTTGTTGCTACGACGCCACCCGCTCCCTATGTCGCTAGGTAGATCGATCAGTGACAAAAAATAATTAACTGGTTTTAATTATACCAAAGATACTTAACCCGATCTTTTTTTTTTTCCGGGGAATTAAATTAAAGATCCTTCAACTCTATGTCCGGAGCTTGTTTGTCATGCATCATCGCCTGATAAAAAATATAATTATAAAACTCATTTGGTAAATTATTAGTGAGGACAGAGTTGCAGATCCAATTATTTTAATTTTTAATCTTATTTTCTATTTCCTTATACTATAACTAAATAGTAGAGTCGTGGGAAAAGGACGAAATGCCAGGTGTCGAAGATCCCGACCGTCCGTCCGATCCCCCCCCCCGACACAACAAAACAAGTGGAAAAAAAAACGATTGCAAAACGCCACGTTTCTTAAATCTTTTTAAAATAAGTTTTAATGTATTCATACCCTTCTTCATACCACGTGCTAATTAATTAGAAAAAAAAAAGAGGGCAAAAGCACTATAAATAAATAAATAAATAAAAGTTGAGGGGGCAGTACCTCTCTTTACGTTTCTCGAAAAATCTCTCCAGCGACCTTCTCCCCCTGATCGGGAAATCTGCAAAAAGTAAAATTAAAGCAAAAAAAATTAAAAAAAATGAAACACCATGAATAAATAGATCTAGATTATTCATCGGAAAATATTTAGGTGTTCGAGTGGTACGACACTTTGTATAGGACTTATGAACGATGTAAAATGCGTTCGCAAAGACGGATCGATACGTCCCGGATCAATAAAATCACTAGCAGATTGATCGATCGATCGATCGACCGACCCGACTCGTTTTCTCACACTGACCTCCGTTGCCGAGCAGCTGCTCTTGGCCGGTCGGGGTCGCCGCGGACTCCGGGCTCTCCGGTCCGGTGGATTTGGGGATTCCTTGGACCGCAAGTTTCAGGATGTTCTCCACCTGAAACGAAACACGAGGCCGCCGCCGATCAGAACGACGACGAAAAAGGAAAAGCCGTCGGCGAAAGGAACGGCATTTACTCAGTTCAAGCTCAATTAGCTAGGAAAAGGGCGCCGGACGGCGAGCAAAAGAACCTTGTTGGGAGGGAGGTCGAAGACGGCGACGGTGCCGCCGTAGAAGATCGTCAGCGGAGCCACTTCTCCGTGGGTCTCCAAGCTCGGCCTGCAGCGAATTTTTTCACAGGATTTTAAATTCTGGAACACCACCAAATCCCAAACAAAAATTGTTTTTCAATTTAATTTAAATTTTGCGGTGAACGCACTTCTGATTTGTTATTTTTCCCAAATCATTCGAAATTTTCGCGTACAAATTTTTCGTAATTTCGAAATTTGAATGATAATTTAAAATTTTGTTTAAAAAGGTGACTTGTTAAAAATCAGGGGCCCGGAATATGTCAAAATCACATCGTCCTCGATCTGCAAACAGATTCCAAATCTCTCCGTACGAAACGCTGACCTGACAAGAGGGGCATAAACAGGCAACGCAGCAGCTGCATTCTGGTCCGCCTTCGGGGTCGAAGGCACCGACCGACCCGCCGCGCCGGAGGAGGCGGCGATCACCGACCGGAGGAGCTCGGGGTGGATCCTCGAGATGGCGCTCTGCATGCCTGTTCCAGAGAGAGAGAGGCGCGGAACGCGATGAGAAGAGCCCGCCGCGGGACCACCCAGGAAAACCCCAAAAAAAACAAAAAAAAAATAAGAAAGAACACGAAAAAGGGCGGAGAGGCCGGCGACGCCGGACCGACCTCGGAAGCTCGAGAGGCGGTCGAGAGGCCGGCGCTGCTGGGGCCGAGGCCCGGCGGCGGCGGCGGCTGAGACGGCGGGGGAGGAGCCGATCTCCTTCTCCGCCACGCCGAGGAAGTCGAGCTCGACGGCGTCCCTGGACATCATCTCCTCCTCCTTCTCCTTCTTCCCGACGGGTCGCGAGGCGGAACGAATGCCGGTCAAAAAGGCGCAGGCGAGGGCGAGAATTATAGAACGAGGATGAGAGAGAGAGAGAGAAGACTGAAGAGAGATGATGAAGGAGGGGAATGGAGAGGGGCACGAGTTACATATGAGGAATAGGTCAGGAAGGGGGAGGGGCGATGGCAAGATTGTAAATAAGGGGGGGGAGGGGGCGGGGGCGCACGTTTTCCACGTGGTCTGTCTTGGAGAGAATAGGCAGCAGAGAGGGAGGTCCGAACGTAAACTACGGCAAAAGCAGGTAGAAAATAAGGGAGGGGCAAGTAGGACTAGTATAGGTCTTTGTCCAACTCCCGTGACTCAATTTACTACTCTCCTTCTTCCCCTTTCTTCTTCTTTTTTTTTTTTTTTATATATTTTTGGCTCGAGCGAAATGAATTCGATTTGTTCGGGTTCACTTGGGCTATGTTCGTTTCGAGAGATGCCGTTTTCTTGAAATATAATACAATTTTTTTTTTGTTTGTTTTTTTGGTAACCCGAACCCCCGCACGGCCGACAAATGAGGAGAAACTCAAAAAGACGCTAGCTAGCAGACCCACCACCACGACGTCACGCTTAAGAATCCCTAACGCCAGCGCTGGGATTCGAACTCCTAATATAATACAATTTTCGTTCGGCCAAAATCTGAAAAAGACCCAAAAAATTATTTTTCGCTATTTGGTATGGAAAATTTGATTTGATTTTCCTTTATACATTACTTTTAATAATTTTATTATATTTTTTCAAATCGATTTTTTATTTTTCTTTTTTCTTTTTTCTTTTATTTCGTTTTTTTTTTTCCATTCTTCTTCGCCGACGATCGGCCATAGTATGGCGTGGTCGAGCTTGCTCGAGGCTGGCGAGGTCGCTCGCCGCCCTTTGGTGACGCTCGTGCGTCGCCGATCTGCGAGGCTCGAGCCTGGCCGCTAAGGCTCGAGCTCACCACAGGCTAGCGAGGCTCAAGCTCACCTGTGGCCAGCCACCGGCGATCGATCGAAGACGAAGAAAAAGGAAAAAAGAAAATAAAACATAATTAAAAAAATAGAGTTTAAAAAAAAATAAACATAAAGCAAAAATAATTAAAATGAATAGTAAATGAAAGATGAGGGGAAATGATTTCATCTTTTTGAACGTGTTTTCTCTATTGATGAAAAATGTTTTCCTTGATTTATTTATTGTATGTGAGCTAAACACTAGAAAATAAAAAAAAACATTTTTCTAGAAGTTATTTTTCACGAAACGAACTAAGCCTTAAGTTGATTTACAAATTTAATTTATAGTTTACAAGTTAGGCCGTTGTTGGTTCTTGAACGCGGCCTGCATATGTAAAACGGCAGCTCGTGACAAGACACCTCGCTTGATAAAATGGTTTTCTTAACTCGCCGTCGGTAAGTCCGGCATCGTGCCGCATGACTCCCGCGTGTTGGGCGCATCGCACGTGGGTCGAAATGGTTTTAGCCGGATTAGATGCGACGGAACCGGGGATACCATTTGAGAATCCGTCTATCCTACAGCTGGTCTGACCGCTGCGCAAAGGTGGAGAGATGGTCATGACGAGCCTAACGCCACCATTTAATAGCGACTCCCACCCACCGCGAGGTTTGTCTTTTCGAAGAAAAGGGGTACACTCATCAAATGGTGGTCACGCTCTCAAACGAAGGCGAGAAAGAGAAAGAGAGAGAGAGAGAGAGAATGCCCATCATGGGCAAACCCCCGTGGTGGCGTCGCTATTTATGACTACCTTGGCAGAGCCGCCTCTCTCTCTCTTCCTCCAATGCCTAGCGGAGCCTTATGGGGTTTTTACTTTTCATAGATAAAGAGAACTATTCTTTTAGTCTTTGTGTAACCCTTACGTGTGATATTATATCCGGGTTATATACATGGTCTATGTCTGGATATATACCCGCTAGGAACACACCCTCGAGCACCGAATAGGACAAGGTCGTTTTGTATGACCTTTACATTTTGTACGTTCAACGTAGCCTTGCACTTTTTGTCAATCGAACATCATCTATTTAGGATGTCTCGATACTGTTAACATCTTCTTCTGTTTTTTTTCTAAATCTCGTGAGCTTGGAATTTGACCTTTTGTTCGAGAAGAAACACTCAAAAACCTTACGATATTTACAAACACCGACACGCAAATTAACATGTGATTTTTTTTTGTAACTTTTAGGAAGATGCACATTTTTATGTGCATACAAAAAGACTATGAACTCTGTGTATTTTCAAATTGGTTATATCCTGAACTATCCTTGATTTTTCTCTATCATGTTCGCTTATACTTTAGAAGGGGCGTTGAGCGGATTCTTACATAATGAATTGCATTGAAACGAGGTACGAAGAGGTCGACGTGGCATTTATGCAAATCCCGAGAATCCGATCTTCGAATATCAGTGATCGTTGGATCGCGGAAGACCAATTTGGCTAATTTCAAGTGCATGGCAAATTACTTGAAATATGACTACACGGGGAACTCCCGGCTATTGATCTCCAATCGAAATCGACTCATCATGAGCTCATCTACACATACTTATACATAAATCAAATTTCGCAATTCTAAAAATAAATACAAATGATATGCGAATTCATAAAAATTGCACGGCATGGTAGAATACCTAGATAATTCAAATTAAAGTACAGAAGAATCATGCACCACATGCTTTTAGGTGGGACTCACAATGGAGTATGTCCCTATCCAATGTTTTTAAGTGCGGTTTGGTCATAATGGTGGCTAGATCTTTCCTTCCTTCCTTTCTTTTCTATTATTTTTTTATACGAGTTAGTCGATTGTTTGTCTTGGACGAGGAAGCAATGTTTAAAACGTTGTTCTAAAGGCGTGACGTGACAAAATGGGACAATGCGCTCTAGAAGGAAATTATTTGGTTGGTTCTTTTTAGAAAAATGGAGCGACTGCCATGATATCGTGCGCTGAAACTTCGTCATCTTTCGGTCAACAGAAACCCTAAAGAACCGCTGATCTGTTGGCGGCCATTATAGAGTCAATTAAGCAAAGATTTGAATGATGAGACGAGATATGTTTTTTTTGGTCAGAGATGAGAAGTGATGCTGAGAAGGGCAAATCTTAAGCATATTAGGGAGAGCCTTGCCAGAGGACGCTAGGTCGGCCCTCATGGCCTTCAAACACACGGCATCTAGCGAGGGAACCTCGCCGTTTTGGGCAAGGCACGACCTCGCTGGATTTGACGAGGTCGACCTTGCCCATGGCCTGCAAGGCACGATCTGAGCAAGGCACGACCTCGCTAGATTTGACGATGTCGACCTCGCCAGCCCAACCCTAGCAAGTTCAACCTAGCCCAGTAATGCGAGGTTCAGCCTTGCTGGCCACAATGCAAAAACAGTCAAAATAGAAGGAAAAAAAAAAGAGAAAAAAATAAAATTATAAAATATTCATAAAAACTATAAAAAAAAATTATAAAAATTGTTTACGTCAGCGATTTTCAATTAAAATTAGCTGGATGGTCTGAATTGACACAAATGCAAAAATGTTTATGACTCAATTGGCAAAAAAAATGTTTAGGATTAAAATGGCATAATTTCAATAGGTTTATGACTTTTTTGATAATTTTCCAAAAAAAACTAGTTAGATGATGCCCTGCGAGTATCAAATCTCTAAAAATGAATTTTTTCGATAGTTGATGAGAGTAATCTAATATACAATACTACCAGATATAAATTTTTGTATTAAGCTTTAACCCTTTTTCATATAAAAACTAACGTATGTCAAGTTCCAGGGTTTTAACATTACAAATCCTTCTTTTTTTAGCAAAAACTGCCCTTCTTAGCAAAAAAAATGAAATCGATATCAAAATTTTCTAACAAAGCTCGAACTAAGAAACCTCAGCTCGAATACTTACCAAATTGGTTTTACTTCAAAGATGTGGTGATTGCATTTTAGAGTAATGTCATCGAAACGAAGCTGGTACTGCACATGGATCACATTGTAAACGAGCATATTGAGTGAGTCTCACTCGTGTTGTCTAATAAGAGTCTATCGCATTACTTTACAAATTAACTTTTATAGCTCAAGCACGCCCATTGGGACGTGCTTTTTGAGAATTTTATATTATCGAAGTACATATACGAATTTTGTTAACAAGTGCCCCAACATCTCAATAAAGAATGCTTGTCAATTTCCAATCGACCGTTTTTCTCGTATTATGTGTAATTAATGTACAAAACTATTTTCTGATTATGCATGATCAACAAGTGTCCCGAGCATGCTCATTAACAAGATCCTAAATATACTCAGACTTATAAAAAGCCATATACAAAAACTCCACGTCAATATTTGTACCTTTTGAATGATTTTAGGTATTTCAAGTTAAAGGACAAATTAAGGCGCATGAGTTGTATGACAAGATTTTGTGGAGCTACTATCAATTGTTAAGTTGAACTTTGAATAGACCTTTGCATTGGACAAACTGTTAGATGAAGCCATGTTTTGTTACTTAGATATCTTAACACTCCGCCTCATGCTTAAGTTGGATTTTGGTATTTAACTCAAAAAAAAAAAGCTTGATTTTGGCCTAATACTAGGCATGAAAATATATTATGGGGAGGCAAATAAGGGTACGAATGGTAACCATTCTGCTCCAGAAATCAAATTCTTGCCAGAAATTGATTTATGGAGGAGAAATCTGTTTGGTAAAACATGACTAATTCTGCTCCAGAAATCTATTTTGATTTGTTGATTTTTTTTTGCACCTAAAAAAATTTAAATTTTACTCAAAGTGGGTGGCCACATGTATTATAAGCCATTTTGTAAAGTTTTGAAATTTTTTATTTTTTTAAATTTTTTTTTGGCACCTAAAAAATTTTAAATTTCACTTAAAGTGGGTGGCCACAGGTATTCTAAGCCATTTTGTGAAGTTTTGATTTTTTTTATTTTTTTTTATTTTTTTGGGCACCTCAAAAAATTTAAATTTTACTCAAAGTGGGTGGCTACAGATATTCTAAGCC